ATATGTTTTACTGTTTTGAATCACTAATATTTGTGTTCAGCGAAGTCTCCCGAGTAAAACAGTACCCCCATGTACAGGTTTTAGGGTGTCGTAGAACGTTACAGGGTAAAATACAGTGCTAGCAAATTAAATTCTCTGGAATTTCGGCCTGGGTTGGCAGGCAGGTCCTCAAATTGCAATCAATAAAATTACTGAATTATGTAAAAATATTACATAAATACGCACGTAGAATTTAAATATATATGCATATTTATATATTTGAAGTCTACGTGTATATTTAAATAATTATTTATGTAATTTTGTATATGGACATATGTATATTTCTTATTATTTTTATTTATTTTTATATACATAGATATATATACAAATTCATTCTAAGTGTATTTTGATATAAATATATATATATTAATTTTAAAAATACAGTTAGAATAAAATTTCTTATAGATATATAATTTTTTTTAAATTTTTATTATTTAAAAAAAATTATTTAATTTAAATTACTTATTATTTATATTTTATAATAATATATATATATATACAATATATATAGTTATTATATATATTATATATATACGTGTGTAATTTAATTATAAGTGTATTTTTATTTTAATATAAGTACATATTAATATAAAAATACACTTAGTATGGTATTATATATATGATATATAGACATATATTATATAGATATAATATATGTCTATATATCATATATGTATACACATATATAATTTTTTTTTTTTATTAACACTAACTTTGGTTTTTTTCAGTCCCCAGAGTAGTGACATTAATTAGGATTTTATTAGACCATGTGATCGCTGTGTTAAGCCATCACATGGCCACAGGGGTCCTAATCTGCCGTGGGGAGACTGTCTGGGCTGCAGGCAGTCTCCCCACAACCGGAGGAACACTGATCGCCGCCGGGGGAACGACGGCGATCAGGTAAGTAGTTTGGACCGTTAGGGACGGTCTTTGGTAATCAAGCCATCGGCCGGGCAACGCGAAAAAATGCCGCTATTTAGGAAGGATAGGAAAAACAAGAAGGGTGGTGGGGTATGTTTGTATGTCAAACATGATTTAAAGCAAAATGTTAAGCAAATGGAATGCGAGGAGGATAATGTGGAAGCTTTATGGGTAAATATCTGCTTGGGGGAAAAGAAGGGAAACCAACTATTGGTTGGGATATGTTATAAACCACCTAATGTTAATATTGACGAGGAACAACAGCCGTTTGAGCAAATTGAGAAAGCTGCAAATCTGGGTAACACTTTAATTATTGGAGATTTTAATTACCCGGATATAAATTGGGACAGAGGGACTAGTGCCTCAGCAAAGGAAATTAGGTTTTTAAACTTGTTAAATGACACCTTCATGTCACAACAATCTTTTGACCAACATTCAAGTAGGTGAGCACTTGGGAAATAAACTCAAAAAAACAAAAGCACTTGGGGAATACTAAAACATATAATTTTAAAAAGGCCAATTTCAATAAGTTAAGGGAAGCTTTACAATATATTGACTGGCATAAACTCTTTAGTGAAAAGAACACTGAGGATAAATGGATCATCTTCCAACAAATATTACAAAGGTACATTTCTCAGTATGTACCGCTGGGAAATAAATATAAAAGAAACAAATTAAAACCAATGTGGCTTAGTAGAGAAGTAAAACAAGAGATTACAACTAAGAGAAGGGCATTTAAAGCATTTAAATCGGACAAATCAGATGCATCTTATAAAAAATATAAGGATGCAAATAATGCGTGCAAAAAGGCAATTAGACTTGCTAAACTTCAAAATGAAATAATGATAGCTGAAGAGAGCAAAACCAACCCCAAAGCATTTTTTAAGTACATAAATTCTAAAAAAAACAAAAATGAAAGTGTAGGTACACTAAAAACTGAAACGGGGGTGTTAGTTAATGAAGACCAGGAAAAGGCAGGAATTTTAAATAACTATTTCTCCTCCATATATATTAAGGAAGAACCCATGGCAATAGATGTGCAAATGATTGCTACTAAAAACTTGCAGAATAATTGTAATTGGTTAACTCAAGACAAGGTGCTGCAGCAACTAAAGAAAGTTAATATAAACAAAGCTCCAGGGCCCGACGGTATCCATCCACGTGTACTTAAGGAACTAAGTGCAGAAATAAGTGAACCTCTGTTTTTAATCTTTCAAGATTCTTTTCTTTCAGGAAGTGTTCCTGAGGATTGGAGGAAGGCAGATGTGGTTCCTATATTCAAAAAGGGTTCAAAATCCTTGCCTGGAAATTATAGACCTGTGAGCTTAACTTCTGTGGCTGGTAAAATATTTGAAAGGTTATTAAGGGATAATATTCAAGAATTCCTCGAGAAGAACATGGTTATCAGCAAAAATCAGCACGGTTTTATGAAGCACAGGTCATGTCAAACTAACTTGATTGCATTCTATGAAGAAGTAAGTAGAAGTATAGATCAGGGTGTTGCAGTGGATGTGATCTATTTGGATTTTGCCAAGGCATTTGATACAGTTCCACACAATAGATTAGTGTTCAAACTCAAGGAAATTGGTCTAGATAGAAAAATGCGTTTTGTTCTGGTAGAACAATATTTAAAACAGAGTACAAAGAGTTGTCATGTTAATGGTAAATTTTTCAAGCTGACAGAGGTGATATGGCGTCCCTCTGGTATCCTGCCCTGGGGACCCCTTCTATTTAACATGTTTATAAATGATCTTGAAGACCGCATTGAAAGTCCCGCGCTCTGCAAGCACTTTGACACCCAAATCCGTAAACAATACAATGTGAGCAAGATATTACTTTATTTATGACCAGATAGAGTTGGGACTGGGCACTAAACAGGTGATGATATTTAATGTTGAAAATGCAAAGTTATGCACTTCGGCATGAAGAATACACAAGCAATATATACCCTTAATGGAAGCGTATTAGGGATAACAACACACGAAAAGGACTTGGGAATTGTTATAGACAACAAACTATGCAACAATATGCAATGTCAATCAGCAGTGGCCAAGGCCAGTAAGGTATTTTCATGCATGAAAAAGGGCATTCATTCTACGAATATAATTTTGCCCTTTATAAATCACTGGTAAGACCCCATAGAATATGCTGTGCAATTTGGGCACCTGTTTCTAAAGAAGGATATTATGGCACTAGAAAAAGTGCAGAGTGGGCTACAAAATTAATAAAAGGAATGGAACATATCGCTATGAAGAAAGGTTAATAAATTTAAACCTATTTAGTTTTGAAAATGCCGCCTGAGAGGGGATATGATAACATTATACAAATATATTTGGGGCCAATACAAACCATTGTGTGGGAAATCCATTCACAAACGGACTCACATAGGACAGAGGACATGAGTTTAGACTGGAAGAAAGAAGATTTGCCTAAGGTAAAGGAGAGGTTTTTACTGTAAGAACAATCAGGATGTGAATTCTCTGCCTGAGGAAGTGGTTTTACAGAGACATAGAGATGTTCAAACGCACCAGATGCTACTTGCAAACAGAATATTCAAGGATATAATCTTTCAATGTAGGGTAATAACTGCTTGATCCAAGGATAAATCTGACTGCCATTCTGGGGTCAAGAAGGAATTTTTTCCTAGCTTGTTTGCAAAATTGTGCTTCAAACTGGGTTTTTTTTTGCCTTCTTTTGGATCAACAGCAAAAAACAAATGTGAGGTAGGCTGAACTTGATGGACGCAAGTCTCTTTTCAGCTATGTAACTATGTATACAAACACAGATTCACACAATGCATCCCTTACACACAACCAGAAACACACAATACATCTCTTATACACAAACAAACACTGCTTTCTATACCTTACACAAAAACACACTGCTTCCACTACACACAAACACACTGCATCACCTACACAAACTGCTACATTCTATAAGCACACACATTAGATCCTCTACAATAACACATAACACATCCCCTACACACTCCACTCCCTGTGAGTGAACTCATGGGTGGAACATGTAGGTAGACTTATGGGTGGGCCTTATGGGCATACTCACCGTCAGGCCCTGGGACCCAGACCTTGAGCTGTGTAAGGGGCCCCCAAAAATGGAGCTGCTTCCCGTTCTCTCAGAACATTACATTTTGTGACCACAGTTACAAACAGCCTCCAGAGATCCTGTTCTACACCAGACCAGTGGAGCCAGACTGCAGCCAGAGCCCATCACCATCCTCATCTGTTTGTAAGTAGGCAATCTAGTATATTATAAGTGACATTAAGCTCTAATTTACCTCACATTAAAGGGACACTATAGTCCCCAGAACCACTGCAGCTTGATGAAGTGGTTCTGGTGTC